CTCACTTTTGGACTTCTAGACTAAGGAACTGTAAAAGAATACATTTCTGTAGTTTAGGAGAACCGATTTGTGGTACATTTTTATGGCAGCCATAGCAAACCAATATACTATTGTAACCAATTAAAGACTGATCAGAATAACTTTATCTCAATCTAGGGCACTTTTCACAAATCGGAGAGCAGGAACTACATATGACGTCTGACCATTAAATGTTCTCTGGCCACATATACCAGGGCTGGTGGGTTTGAACCCAACCTGGGCCTGCCAAACAACAATATCACCACAACCACCAACAAAAATAGCCAGATGTTGTGGTGGGTGCCTGTATCCCAGCTACTTGGGAGGCTGAGGCCAGAGAATTGCTTAAGCCCAAGAGTTTGAGGTTGTTGTGAGCTGTGACATCACAGCACTCTACCGAGGGCTACATAGTGAGACTCTGTCTCAAAAAAAAAAAAAAAAAAGCAGTTCTATTTCCCGCTGTTTAACAGACAAGCAAATAGATCAGGTGGAGAGATTTGCTGGAAGCCACACTGGAAGCAAATGACAGAGCTAGCCCTGGGGCATGTTGTTTAAACCTCCCAGCCTCATTTTCCTTGTTTGTCAAGTGCAGGCCCCTGCCTTTTCCCTCTTAGTAGATTGAGGCACCAGGGCAAGAAGGAATCTGAAAGGTATTTCAGAAAGTGGAGGGGGTAGAAGGTGCCACATGGGGGAGGGATTCCTTTAGGCTGTCGAGGGCACTTTTCTAGTTTTCTATTAAATTCTTGATCCTTTCTTCCTCAGGCTATGTTTTCTACTAATCGTGGCACGGTTGGCGGCTTTTTCCTGGCAGGCCGAAGTATGGTGTGGTGGCCGGTAAGTTTTCTCTGAAATACTATGTGGGTAACTATGACATTCTCTTAGGAACGCATTTTCTTCTTGGCTTTGGGTGTCAGTGATTCTTCCTCCCCACCCAGATCCTTGACAGTGAGTCTCTTGGACACCCTTAATCTCTTATGGTAAGGGAAGAGCCTTTGAATAAGTAAGTGTTCAGCTGGAAACACATCACCAAGTAATGCTTGGTCTCCCTCAAGGGAGGACAAGACTGGGGATTATGCAGGAACAAAAAGAGCACACTGACCGAAGTGAGCTTGAGCAAATCTGAGTTTCTGTTTCTGGACCTATAAAATACGGGTGATAATATTTGCCTTCCACGAGTGCTATGAAAAGCAGTGACTCTCATGGGCTGGAAACTCGATAAATAACTAGCTCTTTTGGTGCTTTTTCCTACTTTAAATACCATGGAAGGTGGTAGAGATGATATTTTTAATTAAAGAGCTGCTAAAAATTTACTTATTTATTTTAATTTTTAAAATAAAGTTTAATATCTAGATATAGGCAGCAAGTGCCAGAAAAACTAAAAGTGTTGAAAACAATTTTTTTCTTTTTTTACTTCAGATTAATACGACTGTACACACAATTAGGTTACATGGTAACATCGTAAGGTGAAGTCTGAGTCGTAGTTATGTCTCTCACCCAGGAAGGGTGCCACATACCTGTGCATTGTTCCCTTTGGGTGGGAACTTTTGGAACCTTCTCCCCTCTCTTCCTTTCTTGAATTTAATTGAGTTTTTCTCTCAAGTAAGCAGGTAGTTGCTAATCCACTAGTTTCAGTTGAGCATTGAGCACCTGTGATGCTTGTTTCTTCATTCCTGTGATACTTCACTTAGGAGAGTGTTCTCCAGACCAATCCGGAAGAGTATGTTTATCTGTTTTACCTCAGAGCCGAATACAGCTCTGTTACATACATGGGAGGTCCTCAGTAAATACTGAATGGGCAGAGGGAGAGCCCCACACTTTTCCAGCTACAGTTTTCCTCTGGAATGGGGATTCCTCATCTCTTGGTGGATTTTGTATTTTGTATTTTTAAGAGGCATTTTCCCTGATGCTTGCACAGGGGTGGAACTATCCCAATCCAAAGTCATCATGGATGTGTGGGGGTGGAGGAGAAACCAGGAGGTGCCTTCCATCAGGGCTCTCAATTCAGCACAATGACCATTCTGATCCAGAGTTCTCACTTAAACAGCTGGTTAAACAAATTGGCCATATGCGCAATTCCTTTGTCTTAAGATATGAGTAAGCCTGTCTTGTGAAAGAGGAAGGAGAGTAACGAAGAGATGCTCAGCCAAAAGGCAGTGACTGCTGTGAGTTGGTTGCAGGATGGAACCTGCAAGGAGAAAGGAAAGACTGTCACGGCTGTGACATGTATAGCGCAGAGAGAACTTACCAGGAAGTCATGCCACATCCTGCACTTGGCCTTCATCAGCTATTGTGTGATGGATTTTACTAACTGGCATTGTCATGGTTACTTGGGTTATTCCTGAAGTTATTCGTATATTAAAATTAAAAAAAAATTATAGATAAAAATTGTATATGTTTACGACACACTATGGGATGTTTTGATATATGTATCCACTGTGGAAAGATTAAACTAGTTAACTTACCCATCACCTCACATACTTTTTTTTTTTGCAGTTTTGGCCAGGGCCAGGCTTGAACCTGCCACCCACAGTATGTGGGGCTGGTGCCCTACTCCTTGAGCCAGAGGCGCCACCCATTCTTATTATTTTTGTGGTGAAAATATTGATGACCTAATCTCTTAGCAATTTTCAAGTTATTATTGTTAGCTATGGTCACTATGCTGTATTATAGATCTCCAGAACTTATTCAATCCAGCTGAAACTCTATAAACATTTAATAAACATTTCCCTATCCCCTTTTGTCCTAGCCCCTGGAAACCACCGCTCTACTCTCTCTGCTTCTATGATTTTGCCTCTTTTAGATTCCGCATGAGTGAGATCATGAAGTCACTTCTATTTTTTTCTTTTTTTTTTTTTTTTTTGACAGAGTACCTCACTCTGTTGCCCTGGGTAGAGTGGTGTGGCGTCATCGTAACTCACAGCAACCTCAAAATCTTGGGCTCGAGCCCTCCTCCTGCCTCAGCCTCCCAAGTAGCTGGCACCTGCCATAATGTCCAGCTAGTTTTTCTATTTTAGTAGAGATGAAGGCCTTGCTCTTGCTTAGGCTTCTCTCAAACTCCTGAGCTCAAACAATCCACCTGCCTCGGTCTCCCAGAGTACTGGGATTATAGGAGTGAGCCACTGAACATGACCTCTATTTTATTCTTAAGGTGGTCAAGAATGGTGGGCAGATGCTGACTTCCGTGGTGGGTCCCTCAAGGTCTCTGGACACCTCGATGGGTAGAGGCACATACTTCAGATGCCTCCTTTCAGTTTTGTGTCAGGGTCTTTTGTCTTCTCATGCTTTGGACTTTTGTGCCTTCCTAAAAGCTGGGAAAGAGGCAGTTTTGATGCAAAGTTCAAGACAAGGCAGAACTGGTCCCTCTAGAGCTACGCTGTATAATACTGTAGCTGCTAGCCACACTGGCTCTCTAAACCAAAAGTAAAATTAGATAAAATTACAAATTGCTTTCCTTAGGCTCATAGCTATATCCCAAGTGCACAATAGCTATATGTGAGTAGTGGCTACTGTATAGGATGGTAGAGACCTAGCACACTTTCATGTTCCACTGGACAGTGGCACTCTAGATTTCTTAGGTTGGAGCGAAATCTCAGTGGACTTGAGATTTGCTGAATTAGAGTGTTGAACAGAACCTTGAAGTTAATTTATTTTGAAAACAGTGGACCCTTACGCCATCTAATGCCTCAGGGCCCCCTATAGCAAGCCTCCTAACTGTTCAGTCAGCCTCAGTTTATGCCCAGTCTCACTTCTCCTCCTCACCCCACAGTGCAGGAAACTCACTACATTTAGACAAACCTGCCCATCTTCAGACAGTTATTTTTTCTTTTGCTGACTATAATCAAGATGCCAATTTTTAGGGCCAACAAATTGGGTGAAGAAACCCATGAGGGGAGATACATGGGAAAGAAACACCTCTAGGAGACATGCATTTTGGGCTAGGCCTGGGAACACATCATATTTTTTGTGTGTGTGTGTGTGTGTGTGTGTGTGGCAGGGCCTTACTCTCATCATATTTTGTGTGTGTGTGTGTGTGTGTGTGTGTGGCAGGGCCTTACTCTCTTGCCCAGGCTAGAGTACAGTGGTATAATCATAGCTCACTGCAGCCTCAAAATCTTGGGCTCAAGTGATCCTCCTGTCTCAGCCTCCCGAGTAGATGGGACTACAGACACATACCACTATGCCTGGCTAATTTTTCTATTTTTTTGTGGAGACAGGGTTTTGATCTTCCTCTGGCTGGTCTTGAATTACTGAGTGATCTGATCTTCCCAATGTGCTAGGATTACAGGTGAGAGCCACTGTGTTCAGCTGGAAACACATCATCTTAACCACAGACAATGTCTTTCTTCCTGCTAGTGCTGGAGGGTGGTTGATGAAGGAAAGGGATTAGCCTCACCCCAAACAAGCAGGGTTCAGTGGTTCATGTGGGGTTTCCTGGGGTGGTGGTTTTCCTTATACATGCATGTCTCAGAATCGGATTTTCTTTCTTTTTTTTTGAGACAGAGCCTCAAGCTATCCCCCTGGGTAGAGTGCTGTGGCATCACAGCTCATAGCAACCTCCAACTCCTGGGCTCAAGCGAGTCTCCTACCTCAGCCTCCCAAGTAGCTGGGACCACAGGCGCCCACCACAGCATCTGGCCATTTTTTTTTGGTTGCAGCCATCATTGTTGTTTGGCGGGCCCAGGCTGGGTATTCGAACTCGCCACCTTAGGTGTATGTGGCTGGTGCCTTAGCTGCTTGAGCCACAGGCGCCGAGCCAGAATTGGATTTTCTAACCCACAGAGAAATAGGGCATCATTTTTTCTTTTGTGCAGAAGTCACTGCTTCCTTGATGAGTCTGACATTCAACCTTTCTTCTTCCAATTGTATTTTCCATTTAAGGTTTTATGAGAGTACGTCGATGGTTTCTAAACCTGCCCATGTATCAGAGTCACAGGAGGCAATACGTGTACAGCACCCAGCACTGTGTACCACAGGGGGTTAATAAATGGGAGTGTTAAGAAATGGAAGGAGGGTCTGAGTCCCAAAGGCATCCCTTATTGGCATCTTTCTAGCACATAATACTTAGCAGTGCTCTTAGTTATTTACCTAGCTATTGCTGCAGGTTGACCATGTGAATAAACGAACATGATTTATATGTATATTTATTTATACCACTGTAAACCATTAATTCTAGTTACCACATTTTAACATCTCTGAGAATGAGTTAGGTCTTATCTTCAGTCTGTGGCATGACATAGGTTGGGTGGCAGGTTTTTCTTTCTTCATGCTACATGAGGTATTTTCTGATAGTTGGTGTCCTAGAGTCAGTAAAGATGGTCATATTTCTTTCTTTTTTTTTTTTTTTTTGAGATAAAGCCTCACTCTGTCACCCTGGGTAGACTGCTGTGGTGTCATAGCTCACAGCAACCTCAGACTCTTGGTCTCAGCTATCTTCTTGCCTCAGCCTACATGTGCCTACCACAACGCCCAGCTGGTTTTTCTATTTTTAGTAGAGACAGGGTCTCTCTTTTGCTCAGGCTGGTTTTGAACTCAAGCAATTCACCTGCCTTGGCTTCCCAGAGTGCCGGGATTACAGGTGTGAGTCACTGTACCCAGCCATATGGCAATATTCTAACATAATGGGTTTTATGCTATTTTTGCTGCAACATTTAAGCTCAGCAGAAAGGCTTTAGGCACTGCCCTCCCCCCGATCCCTTGCCTCTGGTAACACAATTTTTATTAATTTTATTTGGTTTATATAAGGGGAATCTGTTAAGGTTTTGTTTGAGAACAATGTCCTGATGAGTTACAAAGTTTAAAAAATGCCATACAAAAATAATGAGCATTATGATTTC